ACCTAGAGCGACCAAACTCTGTAGGAATACAGGAGGCAGGATATGAACACTGATGCTAGGTTGCAAGACTAAATTCCGCCCTAAAGGGCTGGGCGTGAATAAATACTGTTAGATCGGACCCAGACCGTTGAAACTTGGAGGCACATGGAGTTGGCTGGGAACATTGATGGTAGCTAACATAGTAGACTCAGCGGCGATGAAGTCTCTGAATACTTTTCTTTCTTTGAATAAGCGCCTTTGTGATGTTATGCGATGTTCTATTCGGACACAGCGAAGATGGCTCATAGAAAAAAACGCTCTTAATTCGGAGCTGATACTGAGGGTGTAGAGCTTCCAAAGAAAAAAGAGAATCCGAAGAGTTATTTACACATAGCAAATTTCTCACAGGATGGAGGAGCGCCCGGCGTAGCCGGGCGAACCCCTAAGAAGGAGGGAAGCCCGGCGTCAGCCGGGCGGCCTGACTGGTAGACCTATGGCGATGGGGCGAATTTTAGGCATTGCTTACTGTAGCCCTCCTACGCAATAGCCCGCTACTGTGCTGATCACTCGTCTGGATAGAACTTCCATGCTGTTTCTATCGTCATGAACTTTACACCCTTTTTTCACAACATTTTTGGATAGCTTCACACATTCTTGACCAGGCTCGATACTGAACTTGATGGGGGAGAAAATGATGCTTTTTACTTGGGAGGAAACTAACCTAATGCTCACGCTGATATGAAATGGAAGAAAAATACACTCAAAGGTTCTATGTAGCCGCAACCCACCAGTTAGCGAGCATCTGTTCTTTATTGAATGACCGCTACTTGCCACTCATGTGTTCTAGAGGACAAGCTCATGAGTGAAAAATCCCAGAGAAACTGGCAAATGTCATAGTTCAAGGAAATTATATTTTTCTGCTACTTTCCTACTTTCGTATCACATTGCTCTCAGCATTTTTCAGAAATCGTTCGGATCAGCCATTGTGGCCACTACAAGTTCGAGGGCTATCACTATACAGGCTGTGTGCAGGCGTGCGACTCGGACGGCTGCAACTCGTCTCACGTTCGCTTCAGCGTCGTCTGTCTCATCATTGCCATCATTGCATGGCACTGGACTGACCTGCTACGACTGTAGCGTGCACTCCCACACAGACACTCCCTCACAGATACACACTAATACCCACACCGTAACTAACGCGTGGCCGCGAGGATCCGACCAGCACAAACACGACGATCACATGGTCAGCCAATGATTGTTAAGACTACGAATCCGACCGTGCAGGTGGTGATGTGTCGGTTCCTCGACCGCCCGCGAAACGCTCTCATTCTTCCGGGTCGAGTCCTTCCTCTATTAATGTTCAATGTTCGTATAAATACATGTATCATTTGTTGACAAGCTAGGCAAAGCTGAGCTATGAAGTTGTATACTCGTTCACTTTGGAGAGGTGAAATTTTTTGGCGCTGTTCAACGCTTTAAATTTCGAGACTCACTTTTTTTAACAAGTTCTGGAGCAAATTGGGACTCTCTGCCACAACCATTCCCTTTGTCACTTCTCCAGTTTCCACAACCGACTAGGAGTCAGCGAGCGGTGTAATCCACCACTGGTTTTGCCATTCACCTTAGAATTCGTTTCCAGAATTTTACGGAAAAATATATTCCATGGGAAATTACGTGACTGCAAATTCTTTTCTTGAGGCTACCTTTCCTCCCTTTACGCAGACAAGTGGTCAGCTTTATTCCATTTAAGGTCACACTCAAAACCGTCGAGCTGGTGGGGCTCATGCGATAGCGTCGCAGCGTGATCAAGCATTCTATTTTACATCCCTTCTTGCTCTTCCTAATCCTTTTAGATGTAATTGTACGGGCCTTCATAGGTTCGCGGGGAGTTGCCATACCGTCACGTTCCTCACTGACGTATTTTCCTCAACTGTTTATATTACGAAAGCAACAGAAATAAATGTAGCAGTAAGATGGGAATAGTTGGTTATCAGCCTGTCGTTCATTTGCAGGCGTGTGAAACTAACTGTGGAGAGACCCAATACTATAGACCAGACAATCATGGCCAACTGGAGTAGAGTGTTGGAATTGGATCGTACCACACCCATAGAGATCTTGCTCTGAGAGCCCAACCATTCCTCATTGTTCTCTTCTTCTTATAAGGCGGGAAAAAACCGATTCGCCAGAGGATAAAATTCTTCTGAAGGGCTCGGGAAGCGCGGTTTGGAATCAGAGTAGGATAAAATTAAATGGGATTACCTTCAAAATTCTCTGATTTTCGGGAAAAGGTAACATCAGCGTTTGACCTGCACCATCACCTGCAGATCTCCATTGCCTCTCAATATTTTATTCCTTCCATAACTCCAACCTTCCGAAGTTTCATTTTTACAAAATATCGACGTAATCATAATTCTACCCTCATTGGATACTTTGCTTCGGGAACAAATCGTGTGGCAAATGCAATTTGTGTACAGATACATATATTTTGAACTTTGCCGAGTGCTCTGCCTTGCACACACACACACACTCACAGTTTTTTCAGTTGCACAGGCAATACCTTATTTACGTAGTCTCGATTTATGAGTTTTGTCGATGTAGAATATTCCACAATTCACGTTATAAATGCTGTCCATAAAAGCTCTATATTTTGTGTAAAGACAACTAAAATCAAATAAAATGAAACCAAATGAAAACTGACCAGATGAAATGTCGATTTGGATAATGGCCAGATACCATAATGACTTGATGTTTCAGTGCGTAACACCTGGAACTCGATAGTTTGCGGTTGCCTATGTGAATTAATTTTCTTGATCACATCTTAGCAATCAACCAACCAAACGCAGCACGTTGACCTAACGCAAAACACAACGACCCTTCAACTTCTAGATGAATTGGACGCAACTAAACGGAGTGAGAAACGAAAAAGTCAGTACGGTCTTGCAAGAGCCTCTGACCAGATGATGTGATGTTTGGGAGAGCATGGGAATGAGCACATACTGAGAAGACTAGAGGATCACCCGACAAGCAAAACAATGAAATGAAACCAACGAAAGGATTAGTTCAAGGAGCCTCAGCGATGAATGTGGTCAAGAGGGACCTCGCCGAAATCAAAGTGACAATATAAGGTGCTGTGGATTGAACGAAAATGAGACGGTTTACAGCAACAGCGTTCTGTGCGACGGTGCGGCATTACCGCTATGAAGCTGAATAAAATATGTGAATCTGGAACCACACCTATATAGGAGAAAGGCTGGGTTAGTCGGAAAGGTGGTCCACTATGAGATGGCGAGCACGGAGCCATGTTAGGTCAAATGTTCTTCTCGAATGTTCGGAACGACTAGATCAAAACTTATGTCACATCTGAGGCAGATACATTTTTAACTATATCCGAGACCTTCCCTGGTCCTATGAACAGCTGAACGCCTCAGCACACTGCTGTTCAGATTAATCAAANAAACATAGGCATCTGGAGCTGTAAATATGAAGGATAAAGGCTGAATGATCCTGAGAAGCCACTCAGCGCAAGGCCGCACCATGGAGTTATGCCGTTCTGACAGTACTAACTAGCCTAGACAGGCTATTCCCCAGTTAGGTTATCACATTCTCGAAAGTCGACAAAGGCGATGACAAGTCAAGTAGTTTTGCCACACCTTTGGCGGATTCTCACAATAACTTCCAAAATCCTCGTTGTTCAACAAAAAGGTGACGTTACTTCTGCTCAAGTGGCTGCTTTCAGAGTTCATCGACGTGCTTCCCAACGGTGTTGCTGGTTTGGCTACGTGTTTACAACAGTGGACATATCGTGGTCAGGTCGTGTGAGCCATGAGGGCGCTTGGTTCATTGGCGACTAGTGCCGTCAACACGTAGCTGGCGCCGCCACCGGTCGTTCGGAAGGCACGTCGACAAACTCTGAAAGCAGCCAATTCCCAATGATTCCGCGGCGGCTACCATACCCTTCTACTGGGATTCAAACCTCCCCCTTCATAGCAAAGGATGCGGTGAGCGCGACGCGATTTGTGGGTAGACGTTACCACACCCAAAAGGGATTGCAAATACTTCCTTGCGATTTGTACGCAGAGTAAGCCTGATCGATCACGATCTGTCCTGCAGATGCTCATCAGGAGTTGGCCTGGAATTCCTCTACAGACCTTTTATATTGGGAAGAGAAAAAGAAATCTTCAAGAGCACGGTAATGCAAAGGAAAGCCCTGCCATTTGATAATAACGAGACATCCACAAACAAGGAATCGCGTACGGGATATCATATAGTCATGACGGCTAACAAGTATTATAACTTTATTTTCCACACATAACAATAACAAGAATTAATTGTATCCATAACTTTCGATGATCTTCTGATAAGGAGCGATCTTGGCAGCAGCGTTTTTCTTCGCCTAAACACGTGCTTGTTGATCAAAACAATCTGCGAAAATAAAATGATGTGCAACACATATCCCAAAAAACAACTAAGTTACCACTGACGACCTCAAACGTCGCAACAACTGTTTGTTTAAGTTCTTAGAAATGAACAATTGTCGTGAGATTAGAAAAAGAAACTCGATTGAGAGAACTGAAGCACAAGAGCAACATTCTCTCGAATGGAGTTCAAGCACTTCGAGTTATTGGTTAGTCGTTATTACTGCAAAATTCGACGCAGTTAACACTCCACTACATCCAACTCAGTGAATGCTACATGTCGAATGAGGGTAGAGGCTGAAGAAGGTATTCCTATTGAATGCTACTATTTCGAACAGGAACAGACGAATAATTGAACGGTCAATATTCCCTTTCGAAGTTTTTTTTACATAAACGCCCCGAAGTAAGGGTAGCATGGTTCACTGGCAGATTTTGGGTGCTCAAGTGATGGTGCATTCAAATGAACTGAACGAAAACCTTTTAGTTCCCAATAACAGAACGACTGTAGCTCACCTGTTGGTACAACTTTTCGTTCTTCTTCTTCTGTTCGTAATATGCTGCTCCTTTGACCTTTCTCTTAGCTTCGAGCTTGGCTACAACGTCCTGGTACTTCCATCCAACTTCATGAGAAAGACGGCCCACTAAGATGAAACAAAAATATCACAGAATGTGAGCAACAATCATGAAACCAACCACATAAACGAACGAATTATGAAAAAAAAAAAAAAAACCTGTGCAGTGTTTGCGTCGAGGTTTCAAGCAGAGATGTCGGTTGGCGATAGGCGCATTCATCTTCTTTACACGGTCATAAGCAGATGGAACACCCTCATACACTCTGAGATTCTTGAGGGCCAAATTTCCATGGGGCGTCTTATGGGGCAGCATTCCTTAAAATTCAAGCATAAGTTGACGGCTATAGTCTTTTCATCATGGATTTGATCCACAAATATGGATGAACTTTCAGGACAATTACATGACCATTGATACCGTCAACGGAGGCCTATCTTTCTCAATGGCCTGAACCGCCATTAAATTTCGTAGTTCAAGTTCACGAATAAAAGGAATACTAATGTACTTACGGCTCTTTTTTAACGTTCTCTTTAGCAGCTACGAGAGTCCCTCAAATGAGGAAGAGCTAATGACATTGACATAATATTCCTTCTAGGACACTTAGGGCATTTACACGATAGATAGAAAGTGTTGCATTTAGCACTGACAACAAGGCAGTTTTAGGAAATTTCCCGTTGAAGTGCAAATTGAGTGGCAGAAAGCCTTTAAAGTAACTTTAGAATTTTTACAAGTATGAAGTTCATCACAGCTGGACTTCAAGAAATGCCTGCTTTCATAAGCTGCGCTATAAATTTGTTCGGACAGATTTATTTGCAACGTAAACCTTCGCAAGAGGTAGAGTAGTCCCAAATGCTATCACATAAAGGGGTTCAAATATCTAACCCAACACGCATCATCCTACAAAGCCCGAAACTACTCCGTTGTTGGTTGACTAGTACCGGAACCTCTGCAAAACGAGAGCACTGAACCACGCATCGGCGTCCATACGGAAGTCCTTTGGTGAGTTTTTTCAAGCCCCACTTCATTCTGAATGATGTCGAGTGCGTGAGCACATCCCAAAACCGGAATAATCAACGTGGAAAACTTCATCTCACTTCATGCTGTTAACACCCATACTAGGCCTGTGCTCTTGGCAAATCGAAAAAAAAAACTACTGCAGCATATATATATATATATATATATATATATATATATATGACTTGAACGAAGCTTCTGCAGACGCAAGATAAATCCATACAAATTATGAGCAATAGTGGCAAGCATTCAAACAGATTAATAAATCTCAAAGTTGTTGTGAATGATAAATGCAAAACGTTAAGAGAGTGAACGGTAATGTGTTCAAGCAAAGAATAAGGCTTGACGTCCAGGATTTCCTTTACCACTGTACAGCTTCGACTACTGGGTACCATTAAAGGTGACGATACATCACTTCTCACAAGTCTTCTAAGGTCTCCACAATTCAATCAGCCAAATCCGAAGTAAAAAAAACAATAGCTCTGCTCTCCGCGGACCTCTCCGCAATAGTCTGACTACTGCACCTATTCTACGAGGAGCTAGTATTTGACAGCCTCCATTTCCTACTTTTATGGTCAGGAATATGGAATCAATATGCCTCCATATTCACCTATTAGATACAAAAAGAAACAGAGCTGCTCAAGTTTCTTGTAAGTGTCTGCTTATTGGGTCTTTGTTGGGAACTCCGCGCACATTACATGATGATTCTGTTACACTAGAGATGTGAGCAGACCAAAACTGAGCCTATAAGGGAACCATAAATTAGCTCTTCTGGTCTTCAATTTGGTGGGCTTCGACAAGAACAAGTTGCAGTCAATTAGGACCAGAAACGAAGACAACAATTCATAGGACAAAAATTGTGAAATATTACTGTGTATTCGATTTTTTTTTCATAAATGAAATATTGAATCAAGCTACAATTACCCTGGGGTGGAACCGGAACATGAACCAGTCGTAAGCGACTTAAAGATACTTTTGGTGGTTATACTGTAGGATCCAAATAGTAGCTAAAGTTTCCAAATTACAACCCATAAGACCGTCCGACTTAGTGAAAAAAGATTTTCGCAAGAATTCTTAGTCATGGTTCCTGTAGGACTCTACATGGACTGGAAAAAATCTTTTTTCTTCGCTACTTCAAATATACTGAATTCGCGAATTTGAAATTAAGAAAACTTCAGGCAGGCTTCACTAAACCAAGCAATTAAAAATGTTGTCACTTACCCCTCACGGTTCTCCAGAAAATCTTTCCAGGTGATCTGTAGTGGAAGGCACCTCGAGCGGGATTGATGTTACATCTTTTGCGAAGGAAGCTCATGTACTTCAGTTTTGAACGATGGAAATTTCCAGAGATCGCGATTTCCTCACATCGTAGAACAGCAACCTTTTCTCCTTGAAGGAGCTGCTTAGCAACGATGGACGCCAAACGTCCAAGAAGGTGGTCCTTGCCGTCAATAACGATGGGCTTGTTGTGGAGACCCATTCTACCCTAAAAAAATCGAAATCAACAGCGGAACTGACGATTAGTGCACCAAACGCTTGTTAGGCGAGACTTTATGACGAAAGAAAACAAACTGTCTTTGACACCAAAATAGCATAACATTTGCAACACATTTAGACAAAAACAATGATACCGGTGATCCTCGATCGTAATAAAAACGTTAACAAACGCATAATATTCAACGTATCAAAAGAATTTTTTAAAGTTAACAATGAAGACAAGAACATTGCCTGGCAGACGAATGATTGTGACGTCCACCCGTCAACATCAACAAAGTACCAAACGAGAGAATTTTGAAAAGAAAAATTTCTACTTCAGCGCCGCTTTGCGACGATTCGGTGCCACATATTTGTATTGAGCTCGCCTACAAAAGTAATCAGGTGTGCTGATATATGACATGCATCCGCTCACATGCACCAGTGCAACTCACGACGATTGAGAGTAACGCCCCCTTCTTATGAACCCACTTAAAGGGCTAACTGGCGCCTTGAAGATGAATAGACTGCTCATATGAAATTTACGAAAAACATACTATTCGATAAACTGTTGTCAAGTAGTGTCACAAATGACTCATATTCGTTATTAGAGCACCCAACTACCATTGGATTACCAACTAACGAGAAATACCTTGGAAGTTCGGAGCTATAACAATCAAATAGCTCCTCTGTGACTGTAGGAGTGATAAAGTAGGGTAGTGAAGTGAAAGTAAAATAAAGTACACAGTAGCAGTACACACTAAAAAAGGATTGCGTTAATCTGCACCTTTCTTAAAACATTTAAAAACACACAGAAACTAAGAAAAACAAGATATGCTCAGCTCAACTGTCATCGAAAATCCGACATTGCACGAAGTACTTGAAATACTCGGTTCCTAAAACGGCTCCACCTCCCCTATCCCCCGACAATGAAAATAGCCAATCGTTGTAATCGAAGCTGGATGGTTGGAAGATTGCAATTTGTAATGAATTGATAGGAAGTTTCGAAACAAACAGTCCGTTGATGAAGAATCATCGAAAGGCAAAATCCTAAAAGAAATAGGATTGAATTCTCTGCATGAGTACGGTAGCTTGCACATTGCGGTCCTTTAAAAGTGACAAGCATTGGAGCGCGTTTACCACGTCGCGGAAACGCAGGATCTAGCACGTATCCTCGTGCAGATTCATCCTGTGATTTGAGTAGACGTCGAAATNNGTGGTCGTGGTAACTTGTGGTTTTATTTAGCTAATTTAAGCTGTAATTGTTATTCAACTAACAATGCCTTGAAAAGTTATCACTATGATTTATCCACTCATCATCACATTCAGTCTATCTTGCTCATTCCCTGATAGTTTCTTATGCCAACAACTGACATATACATCACTAGATCCATTCTGAACTGTAGGGACGGGAACTCGTGAAAGTCAGCATTGCATAAGACTATTAACATATCTCGAAGGCTTTGCAAGCGGTATTAACCGGGAAACATATGGGCGATCAGGACGATAGTCTCTCCTTTAACTGCACGGTTTTCGTTTTGCCTTAAGGAACATTGAGGAGCAGATCCGCTGATGTCATTTGCTTTTCCGTAATATCGTTTTTGAAATGAAAAAAGAATAAACTCTTCATGGTCATAGCCCAAAATTATCGTGAACTGTGCATAACTCGTGGGTCACATTGGCACAGTATAGAAGAGGCAACAAGAAAAAAACAAGGATGATCCCTAAAACTACAAGCATAAGCATTCTGTGCACCGTAGTTCAGTGGTCATTCCATGATGTTCAATCTAAGCAAAAGTTGCCAAATTTATTTATTTAAGCAAAAATGCGAGTTCGACATGAACCGCGGAAGAAGTAATTACATCTTTTCAACTGGAGGGATATTCTCCCAGAGAGAGCCATGGTATGTGTCTAATATCAGTAGGTTCAGGAGCCGTAAGTTAGCTAGGCTTTGACCACCTAGTGAGGACACTTAACAGATACCAAAAAGGGGAGAGGCCGGCAGAGGCACACTGTGCGACGCCCTTTGGTTAGACGGCAGAACAATCGCTCAAAAAACCAACACAAGCTGATCAGCATGCAGATTCGGGTGGAATTAATGTTTTCTTCGGTTCATATGTTTTTGTAGATGATTCACAGCATCTTACAAGCTATGCAAAGCTCACAGACTTCCTCATCTTTCCCACACGTACTAAGGCAATGAGCTCCAACTGCGCCCACCAAACATTGGCTTCTAACTAGTCATGATGAAGGATTTTTCGTGAATGTACTGGCTGAGTCATCCAATGGCGTTTGCAAAGCGGAGTCATCGCTGAATGGCGTTCGCTGGTGACTTCCATGCCTTCAATAATATCGTTTTCTTTAATGCATTAGCAATTGATTCATGGAAAACTTGACTTCCATTTATGTCCCCGTTCATCGAACTTCAACAAACCTTGCAAGTGACTCCCATTTTCCCGGTTGCTTTCGAGGACTTTTCCCTTTTGCGATTGCTTACTCATGGTCCTTCTCAGAGAACAGCTGGAAGCCCTTTCTTAACATCACGCGCTGGGCAGTGCTTTTGAAGGAAAGCAGTTCGGGCAAAATTGGGAAATTCAAGCAAATCGTGAATTTAACAGCGCTATGCTCGGAAGCCTTACAGAATTCAGACTGTACATACAAGTTTTTGAAAAAAGTTGCTGTAGCTTACAATTAAAATCGAAGTTCGTGGTAAATTTTGCGAAAAAACCTTCAATACTATGTACTTATTATATATTTCATACATCCCCTGATGACATTCGAAGATTCTTAGGAGCCTCTTGGAGCAGGTTAGTGATATCAGGCACTTTTCTGGCTGGTGCGCCTACCAAATTGGTGGTAAGAGATAATTTTAGTTTAGTTCAGCGGGTAACGTCCTATGTATGGCTTGGTGCAGGTTAAGATACCATGATAACATTTGATTCTATGGGTACCATGATCATTTGTATTCATTGTGACAGAGTTCTTCCTTACTCATGTTGGGGTCCACAGCTTGGCAGTAGTAGGTAACAATTAATTAGGTTACATAAGAATAAAAAGAAATTTGAGTAACAAGAATAGTGTCTGTAGGGCAGAATAGCGACTTAATCGAATTCAAAGTTGACAATGAAATCATCAGACATAAACTGGTCCCAACAATTCTTCCTTTCCACATATCCTCATCAATTCCATTCGTTTAATACTTGTACTGCCCAGAATTTATCAGCTGATGCTGCTTTTGTAGTGATAAATGTTTGAATCCTGCCCTCTCCATTCCTAGAAAAGTATCTTTTAGAATGTAATTGCATATTTTAAGAAACAATTGCATGGAGCTAGAGCAGCAGCGAACATGTTGCCATCACTTTCACGAGCCGAGCTTAAATCGGGTGCGTGGGTGGCATCATGGGCAGCAACATGGGCTAGGGCCTACTATGTTACTCGAAAAAACCGTTACCCCCTATTTCCCCTTCACTGCCCACTGTCATAAGTGTTAACCAAGCTCTACTATTACTCAACCTTCTTATATTAGTTACTGCTACACTGAAGAAGGCATTGGTAGAAGCTTAATAGCCAGCTTTTGAGCAGCTAGTTATTCCCCGCTTATCAATCCACGCTTGAGCTCACTGTTGACTCATCGCTAACTTCCAACAGGTGGTGGTTGCAGTGGTAGTTCGGGTCTGTTTCCTCTTTTTCCCTTTTCCCAATCGATTTTCCGTCCCTCTGACGTGGTTTCCAGCTGACTGGCGCTCTCGTCAATCGTGTTGTTTCGCTCTCATCGTCTGCCACTAATCGCTGATGTTTTCCCATTTCGCTTTGAATTTGCAGCTTTTCAGAAAATGATCAGAGCAGCAGAGCAATCAATAGACACACAGCAAATGTTGGATTTGAATGAGGAGGTTTCCAGCAGTACGATGACACTTGGGGAATCTTCTAAGAAGAATACGGTCAACGAACCACACCATGCCAGTTACCTCACCATGATAAAGGTCAGAAGTGGAGTTGTTCTGTTTAAGCTCCAGCGCTTAGATTGTTTTTCCGCTTTCGTGTGCTGCCCAGCGTTCGGGAAATACATCATCGGCATCAGAAGGTGGAACAAGATAAACTGCGATAAGTTCGGGAGATATATCAACCGCAGCAGTGAAGGGAACGGTGATATAAATAGCTATAAATGGTAAAAAGACAGGAGTTACGATAGAGTGCCAAACGCGGGTTCTGGTAGAGCGACTTGCCCTCTGAATGTAGCTGGTTCCGATCACTTTTTAAACATAAATCGCTATCATCGTGAGCTGATCATGTTCCTTTCATGAGAAAACTGTGAGAGGTCTTAAAAACTGAAATTTTGTGCTAAGGTTAGATAAGGCAGGGGGTTCCACAGCGAGGTTGCATGAAACTTCATATTACTGCTGTTGGGAATTCTTGACTGTCGTAGGAACGGAGTTAAAAGATTGGGTGAGAAAACAGGTGTGCATTGTACACTATATCTATTAGGGCCACTATATGTATTAGGGTGTAGGTGGTGGCAAGTTGCGCACTTCACGGGTTCGAATCCTTATCGATATCCGTCTAGGCCAACTCAGCCCTCCATCTCTTCAGGGTCGATCGATTGAAAACAGTCTGAGAGGATAGAAACACTGTTTTGTACACCCGCTGGCTACCACAAGCCATTGTATAGGCCACATACGCATTCAATACGCCACTACGATTCTAAACGGAAGTCGAATGCGTGGGTGCAACCCTATGACGAGATTGATTCACGCCCCAGGACTTTATAGACTTTAGACTTTATCATCTGCCAAGTAAAGTCATCTCTATAGGATCATATGAGTACCACAATGGAGTCATAAAGGAGGTTAGGTTTCCCAGCCCTTACTGTCTCTACAACTTTGCCACTTACAATTCCAGAGTAACCTGTGCCCTGATAATCCTTTCAGCCCATTCACAGGGTGTAGTCCAAGCACTAAACGAAAGCGAAGAAGCTGATAAATCGGCAATTCTGAAGTCTCTAGCACAGCACTATCACGTTGGAGGAAATATCACAAAGGTAAGTTCAACAGTGGGGTTTTCCTTCAAGGGTCCTTAGCGCTGTATTTCAGGATAATTCACATATGTGCACGACGCGCAGGGAGGTTCATGAAGAGGACGGTATTGAGCAGGTGATGTCGTTCTGCTATGGAGAATCTTCAAGCGATTTCTCTCATCATGCTGCTAACCTATTCTATTTCTCTGTCCAACCTTTGCTGTTCTCCTTACGTTGAGAATTGCCCGACATCATATGATCCCGAAACAGCCTATATGAATTTGCTATTAAACAGCCAGTTACGGTAAACTCTCAAGTAGTCGCCTACCCGAATTATGTTCTCGAATGCAAGGAACAAGTCATCATAGCGCTTGCAGAGCAGAACCATCTGGCATGATTACACAACTTTGAATTACTGCTGGTTCATTTAACACGACCTGTTGAAACCAATTCTTAGCTGCAATGTCTCTAGCCTCTATTTCAAGCCTATCCCCAAATATCAAAGAGTATCGCCTCATAACAAATACACACCGCTCTCTTTTACCGCACTAGTTACTGAGTGGAAGGAGGTAGAGAGTTTTCTCTTGAAGATCCTAAACGGGCCGGGGTTGGCGAAGGCTTGCAAGCTTATCGCATTCAAAAAGAAATTTATCAGAAGTGCATAATACCTGGGTTTTTTTGTTCATGTACCGCATGTTTCTCATTCTTTGGGATGCGGAGTAGAGCGCGATCTTTCCGTTATGTGACGACGACGTCAGCAATTCTTCTCAAGGTTTTTCATCAAAATTCAGCTTCTGCCATTGTTTTTTAGACTTTCACAAAATTGATATTCCATAGAATTACTTTTTGCGTTACCAATTCCGATACCAATTTTCCAGAAGAGAAATATGTACAGGTTTAGGATACCAATCGACATAACCGAAATTACGCCATTGGTCAGTAAGAATAATGTGAGTGGGCACGAGATTGATCATTTTTAGCCCTACCTTCAATATAACTTATTCAATGGATGGCTGTCATAATGCTCTAATTCGGAAATCGATTCTTATATATTATAATTACGGGTATTCGAATAGTTCTACTGGACCCCATGGTATCAAATGGCAATAGGTAGAAAGCACAATAATTCGTTGTCGAAGTGGTTACTGTGGCCTATACACTGTAATCACATGATTCCTCCCGATAACTATGGCCATTTTTACTTCAACGCAAAAAGCGCGTAAATGTGAACTGAACCGGTTTTCGCGTCCCCTCGAATAAAAAAAAGATCGTCTGGCAAAATAACAAAACACGAAGGTGAGCGCTAGTGCATCAAAACAACTCTCAGAGGGTAACCCACTCGGGAGGAACAGATGCAGAATCGTGGCAATGACGAAGGGCAGCCACCATATGCTAGGACTATGGGACCTCCCAGAGGCCTTGCAACGGCTAGAGTTTGTTTATCAAGTGCCAAAGAAGTTGGGTTCCGATGCCATGTCTCCAGCCTACGAATCGAGCGCATCTAACAATCTTCACTGAATCCTTGCACTCAGATCCTTTTCCACGGTTCGAATGCGTAGTGCTATAAGCGCAGACTAAATTGCAATTCTCAGTGCAGCATAGGCTACCGGGCCCATACAATCAGTCGGCTTCAGGCTAATCTAAGGCTATACACACTACGAAGATAGCATAGCAGCCTAGGAACCGTAAGCTCAATAGGGATATCTCAAAACTGATGAAAACTCGAGCAGAACCGCTCAGGGGGATGACCGTTCCCTACTGTACCATTTGGGTTGAAGTTGTGAGTATATGAGCGCAATTGCCGATTATTTCCCTCGTCCAAGAGCTCTTTTCATCAGTATCGTGATTGTGCCATGGGGCGGGGTTGGCTGGCTGCCAGGGGGCGCAGACGGGGAGCACGTTGGTGGTAAACAACCATTTTTTCTTCTCATGTGATGTTTTCAGGAGCGCAGCAAGGCTCGCTGCCGATTTTAATTCGTTATTGCATATTCGCTGAGTGGAGGCTCTTCACCTTCTTTTATTATTTGCCTTCGCTCAATCACACAAGCTTCTCTTCTTGGAGTTCGCAGATACCGTAAGGTCACTTGGCGTGCTGGGTTCTATCGCCTATTTCACTTATTTCACAAGCCCGCGTTGGATAGATAGATGGTCAGAGATTAGAGAATTCCAACCTAACTATAGCGGAATCAATAGCGAAAGTGGAAAATAGGTTATGGTGTGGTGGAATCGATTCTTTAGATTTTTTTTGCGACTGTTTCGTTACTCTGAACCCCGAGGAAGAGTGGACAGCTCAATCATCCAAATACCTATCGTATTGGCCTAATGCTTTGTGGGTTGCGAAAAAGAGCATTCCTCTGGCTCTTCTCAGACGAGATAAAGCCGATTCGAAGTCCCCTCGCGAAACCCGATATGGCCACAGGAATTCGCTTGTCATCATGTTTCCCTTGAATACATTTCCCTCCATTGCATATTTCCTGCCTGTTTTTTACTCCCCTCATACAGGGAAGCATTGCTCTGTAAAATAAATTTGACTTCGGCAATTTATTTCTATGATGCAACCCCTCATTCGATTCTCTGGTTTACCTCCTCTTGAACATCATTTTCCATCCTTTTGACGAGTTTTCCACGCAACTCATGCTCTTCTCATCCCGCTTCACACTGTTTACGCTTCGCATTGAGTGATCCCTGTTGTTTTAGTTCCGCTCCGAAACGTCGTTTTTCAGGCAATGATCAAAGCAGCAGAGCAATCAATGAGCATGCAAGGAATGCTAGACGCCAGTGGCCCATTCCCCTCTGCCGGGATGCCACTCCATAAGCTCTCGGAGAAAAAGAAAAAAATCCTCGACAAGAAGAATCCTATTCCTGGGCCACACCATCCCACCTACCTAACCATGATCAAGGTCATTCATTCTCTCTTTATGGTTATGGGCCTGTTTTCCTCAGCACTCCGGCTGTTTTTCAGTGTATTGAGGGTTGCCCGCATACCTAGAATTCCTCCCATACAGTAATGCCAGATGTCGTAGTACCTTACAGGGGTTTAGAAGTGGGAGGAAAAGCAAGATACAGCAATCGAGTTACAAATATAGAAACTGATTGACTGTGACTAATCTGCTAGAGTGCGCCACGTACTCGTTTTCTAGAATGGGTGCCTTTAAAGTCGCATTTGATGTAGATGCTGACTGAGTTTATCGATAGAGAGGACCCGCCTAAGTAGGGCAGGATTCCACCAACGAGTTGTGCGAGTGAGGCCTTACGCTACGAAAGAATTTTTTGCAAGTTTCTGAACTTGTTTTAGGATTATGCTCAAAATTTCGATGAACAGATCTTTTTTTAGGCCATTCAGTCTATTTACAGGGAGCTGTTCTGGCATTGAATGAAAGCAAAGGAGCCAGCAAACCGGCCATCCTGAAGTATCTGGCGCAGCACTACCAACTTGGTGAAAACCTCCCAAAGGTGAGCTTATAAAAAGGGTCAAGTTCATAAACTCCTTAGTGCTGTGTTTCAGATTAATTCGCATCTGTGCATGGCACTGAGGAAAGCCCTTAGGGAAGGCAATATCGAGCAGGTGGTGTCTTTTGTGCAATTTTCTTACTGGTAAAACGTAGAAACGCAAAAATCGCTATTGCGTTTAACTTCAAAAATGAGCCGCATCGCATCTGTGGACAAATAATAAGGAAAACGAGGGGTGAATGACTGACACCTTCCCCCCATAGTTGGTTGTTTAGTAGAAAGGTTGGAAAAGAACTTGGTTGCGTTGGATGGCCCACAGTTCTTTATTTCTTATAAAGTCAGCTTTTAGGCCTCATCCTCCCTTGAATTCAGGACTTGAGAAAGTACACGTAGTTAATAAAAGACGATACAGTGAGCAAAAGTTCCGCATCGAAGATATACACCGCAAAATATATCTGGACCGCCCAGCATGTTGATCCAGTTCCGAGAGCTTTTAGCGATGGCATGGTCTGACCCACCCTCACAGCTAAAGGCTGGAGATCGCTCATTGTTAAGCCTCATGGAGTTCTCATATCCGTAAACAACGTTGCCGTTTGAAGGCCAACGCTTCCAAGGTGCTTTTATCGTTTTAATGAATAACCTTTAGACAACAGGACATGGCGCTTCTGGCAGTTTCAAAATGAGCCCTACGACATCTAAGAAAATCCGCCCGAAGATCGCCAAGAGAAAAGCAGCCAAATCTGCTTTACCGAAGATCAAACGAGTTATTAAGAAGAGGGCTGTAGTTGCAAAAACTGTGAAGCCAAAGGTAGTGAGGAAGCCCATCAAGAAACCGAAGGTGAGGTCTGCTTTGAAGTTTAAAGAAGTTTCTGAGGTGAATTAGCAACCATTCAGGTCAAGAAAGCGATCAAAAAGAAGGTCATTAAGAAAATCGTTCCTGTCGATGGTAAGCTTCGCGTGAAGAAGAAACGTGTCGTTGTGAAAAGTAAAACACCTCTAGCAAAGAAAACATAAGGGGTCCCTTGTTACATGCTTCGGTGTAAAACACATCACAGCTTCAGAGGTCCAACATTATTAGTTATTATATTCAGGCATGAGTTTTGTAGTCTTCTGCTTGTTTCCTACATAACTTTTGGTCAGTTTATCAAGTTTCATTGCACATACAACCTAACCGGAAGCTGAATGCTTTAGATATTTGATTATTTTTGTCATTTACTTTTCTGAGGTCATTAATCCCTCCCAACAAAGTTTTTGGGTCCCGGCAGCCATCCATGAGACGCAAATGGGCATGCATCTTGTTTTTCACACCACCGAGAACAGTAGACCTTTGCTCCTAAGTTTTGGTCGATGCTCAAACTTGTTGTCCTGAGATAGTAACTGCCTCATTTCTGCGAACTAGAGGTTTCGAGGTCTTCCAAGTCAGACTGAATGAGGAGCTCGCGATCGAAACTGCTAATTCTTTGTCCCAATAATCATCGCGATATCCCTCGCTCTACATCCCGGTCCTTTCACGCATTTTCGTCATTCATTTGTAGAAGCCTACCAGCTTTTTGAGTATTCGGCTCTCGTTTCCAAGGAAAACGTTTACTTTTGAACGCATTGAACGGTTAGGGATAGGGTCAACATCATCAGATCATTATCGATATGAAGGGTGGGACAGATATATCGGGTCGTACACTACCCGATATATCTGGGAACTGTTCGATGCGTCGAGCAAACATGCAAGGCCCATTGAAGGACCGAACTGGAACCTCTTAAGCTCTAAAAAAATCCCATTTCTTCTAAAAGATCGTCGATTGGAAAGCGGCTGCTTCTTCAGTGGGCTTTCTTCCGATGGCTCACATACCGTTACATATCCCAACCTATCCGGTGAGAGAACTCTGTCGGAGCTGTCGCTTTCGACGTATTACTTTGTAAACTACGAAAATGAGCGAAAAGGCGTTTACGTGCGGGGCCTAAATGGGCTTTACAAAATCGATTTTGTTATTTTTCCCATAAAGCGCAATACTGTAAGAACTGTATCATCAGGTGAAATCATCAACTACTGTGTGTGAAAGCGGTGTATTCAGGTCGATTCTCGTCCAAGTTCAATTTGTTTTCCTTGTGAATACCCCGGGCATGGCGTCGATTTTAATGCTTGTGAGAATAACCCCCAAGAAAAGTGATCTTCGCAATAATTTCGGCATTTTTTTGTGATTCGCCTTGAAATCAACGCCTTCCCTGTCATCTCATCCAGTCAGTCAACCGGGCAATCTTGCCCTTTCACGCGGTAATTACTGCTTGCATATTTTCGAATGTTTTCTCGTCCAATTGTAATACATACAAATGTTAAGACATTGCTGATTTTCTCCCGGTTCGCATTGTATTTTCTGTCCGTATTTGTTGGCTTTGTACAGTGTTAAATAGCTGACTGACATTCCCAGATGTGGACATTCATGGAGGTTGCGCATTAACAACGAGGGAGACAATTTGATAGATTGGCGAAATTTGACGCAACTCCGCAGAACGTACGCAATTGGGCGTGTCAGCCATGACTATCACGATTTTTTGGCACATTATTGACCTCACGTTGGACGAAATCTTCCAGAAGCTTAATGGACTATCTCGCCATTGGGCTTGTTACCAGGGAAGCTACGTCTTCCTTCGAATTATATCGAAACCCTACTTTGCTGAGAGGTCCGTGTGAACTTCCTAAAGTGCTCGCCCAACTTTTGCCCTGTTACCGCCGCGGTGTACATTTGGGATCCCCCGTTTAGCCTTCTTTTTTCTGTGAATAAACGAGATCTCGCTTTAAATCGAATCATTGCTATTATTACGGTGAGATCAAAAGATAATGCATGAGATCACAGATGAGCATAACACAGAGCGAGACGACGTTAACGACGACGAGGACGACGATGGTCAAGGTGCATCAACGACTCCGCATTCTCTCAGGTTCCGCAGAATTTCTTGAGCCACAGCTCGATGTCCGAGTTCATTGGGATGGAAGGCGCCCATAGCGTTGCCTTGGAGAGTGATGGACTCTTGTCTCGATCTGAACAGGCCATGTTGCTGATCGAGCTGCTGTTATGTAGTTCAGTGGGAAAACGGTACTAATGGCCATTGCAATGGTCCTCTTTGACTCGTGGGTGCCATTTGTGGCCCATTCCGTGAAACTGATATTTGTAAATTCAATCGGTATCGACGTATATATATATATATATATATATATATATATATATTTGCTTAAATGTGTTCGTATAGTGTCACCACAAAAACCTTCACTTTTCTGCTGACCTTACCATGGACTTTGAAATCGAACTTAGAAGGCAGCACTATTATTCATGCTTAGAGATAGAAGTTGAAATCCCGTCTACTAAGGGAGGCAAATGCGCTTTACAACAATTTCTGACCTGCCCATATGTAAATTCTGCACTGGACGTATCCTTGACACAAGGATGACCAGCGAAACCAAAGCCCATGTTATTTCCAAATGAAGGTGGAGGAGTGGGAGAGGTCAAATGAAGTCCGTATAAATTTATATGATCAGGGGCATATTAAAATGACAGAGTACAAGAAATGCACAAACCTGATGAAGCTCTGGGATGAACAGATCCCTCGGCGAGCGAAAAGTGCCGGTATAGTAGTTGCAACGTGCCAGTTATGTTGGACACCTTTTTTAAGAAGCAGAGTATTCAGTCGACGCAAAATTCTTCGCTCAGCAAACGTCATACTCGACGTAGACATCTGGAAATTTGAACATCCGGCTTAAGGTGATGAGCTTTCCTTATAAACTACGAAAATATGCAACCATTTACGCATCTCAGGATTAACAACTATGACGGAGCTGCTCTTCAAGGACAAACACCAACGCAAGCATCTCACTATGAGAAAGGGTCCTTAGAGGGGTTCTTAGGGGTTCCTAGCTAGAAGTAACCGTAATCAAAGATTCCTCAGGGTTGGGAAAGCTATTCAGGTGTTTTGTTCCCTTCCAGCTAGTCACCTGACAGCACATTTCCAAATAAGGAAAACAGAAATGTATTCGCTTTCTATGATTCATCAGAGTGCTCATGTTAAAGAGCCTGAATTAACAGTAAAAACAGCTTTACATTTGAGGGTTGCGGTGCGAAACTAGACCGAACTTGGAAAGGAAAACTGTCTAGCAATTATTGTCATGGAAATAAAAATTAAGGCCGTCTTCAAAAGCTCACTTATGGCATGAACGAATGCTCTATTTTGTCAAAAAATTGGGCAATGGCAAGCGACGTGAGCCAAATTTGAGGCGAAACTGGTTTCCATCTCTATTTGATTCACTCACCTCTCCCGAGCCAATACAACTTGCATCCATTTCCCCATACTGATTTTTTGTGAAGTCGAAATATTGGGGTACAAACACGCTGCCAGTTCCCATAGCCGCAAACCGTTCAGCGACCAAGTCCAGCTGATGAGAGACGAAAAAGAATCTAAAAGAAGAAGAAAAGTGAAAAAGTTTCTAACTGCTCCGGAAACAGTGTGTAAATGGGTACGGTGAGCAGTTTTGTGCTGAAGATCATAATATTCTCAAGGCTTTGAAAGAAGTAAAAGCAGATTTGTACTTCATAAATGCCCAAAAAGTGATAAGATTAACCGTAAGCAGTGGATGTTTCATGATGCTTCAGACAAGACCACCTGGATGCGTTCGACCTTCAACGAACTGCTTTAAAATGAAAGGTCCGGTCAATGATTGGCGAGAACAGTGGAGGTCCTCTTTACAATACCTATCAAGGAGAGTCAAGCGTATAACGATAAGTTATTGACAAGAAAGAGGGCGTAATTCTTCGTCAGGCAGAGGAAGGTGTGATCAGTTCGTTAAAAGGCGGAACGCACCGTAATTTCATCCTCTCTCTCGTCATTCATCGCCACAAAATACAGAAAAGCTGAAGAGACTAGCAAAAGCAGGGTTAAGGAGTACTGGTGCCGGTTAGGCATTCCTCCTGGCGTGACCCCTTACAACATTGGCCACAAGTCGGGGTAACAATAAACGTTTCTAGAAGCTTCTTGAGCTTCTTACAGATCACAATAGTATTTCGGGTAAAAACCCTAAGGAGCTGCAATGGGGTCTAGCAACGATTTTTAGCCATGAAAAGATAGTCTTTTACCTGACATGAGCTTCAAGAGGGACTGATTGCTGTAGAAATAGCATGCTAGCAAGCCACTGCTCACAGTTGGAATGAGAATTAAACGATGATCGACTGAAGAATGTTCAATTCTTCTCCCATGCGGAGGGGTATCGCCCTTCCCCATTCCCCTCCCCCCCACGCCACACACAGAGCATGTTCACTTTTAGCATCGATATTTTCGAGATTTGACACAATCCCTGCCGGACAAAAGCTAATCCGAGCTTTGTTACCCCACCTCTCCACATGTTGATACCTTTCAATACGTTCTTCAATTTGTTGCAGCACCAAGGGCGAGAGATATTCTTCAGAAATGTTCCACAAAGTCCAACAATTTAGAAGGAACATATTTGCAGGAAAATTAGCGAATTCCTACCTCATATCCATTAGGCTGATATCAAATCTAGCATTTTCATGAACGAGAGCGTTGATGATGTCTGAGAAACCAATGTCGTTTCCTCCTAAGGTCAAGATTACTACGTCTGGACCGCGACCTCTATAAAATGTAATTTACCGTAAAAGCCAATATTTTCAACGAAAAAATGTATTTCTTAGGAAACTGCCTCACTTATTCGAACGACAAAGGAACTAAAACAACGGACAGCATCTAAGAAAAAGAAAGGCGGGCAATCGCAGAGAAAAGCTGTCTAACGATAATTAACGCTTGCTTGCGGTGGCCAGCTGATGAACAGCTTATTCTCCCACAACACTACACTTACTCTCCCGAACAATTCTGACTCGAATACAGGAAGGATGGATGGCCTAGTTGTTCATGATGGGCAGCAGTCCCCGGATTCGATCCTTGGCCTGTCAGCCTCCTGAAGAAGCTATATTCTAACGTAAATAATGATAGCTTAGTTGCACTTTCCCATAATCATTACAAGCACCAGGAACAGTCACCTTATCCGCCAAAAAAATCTATTTAAATATGAACCAGAATAATCTGAATGATGGCCACACTGAAGACTACTGTCTCATTTTAGGCATGACCAGAAGCCCATTGATTGAATCGATTAGTTCTAGCAGTTATTGGTTAAGCCGACAAACAAAACAGAGGAATTCTCTGAGGAAACTGAGTGGATAGTGTGCATACATCCCGCTGAGTTTTTGGTCTACCGAAGTGGTTAATCAACTTTCATGCACTGGAAATCGAGCAGCTCAAAGGTTTGTTAGTTACTGATTTGTACAAAATCACTTTGCGGGTGGTTACGGCCATCCGGAGAGCGGCTTGTTTCGCTTTTTTCTCTTGGAAATTCCGATGGATCACACATTTCAAACTCATGAACTTCAATCTTAGCACAACCCACAACAAATTCCTAATCTTTCACTAATGAAAATGTATCAGTGGGTAGTATAGAGGGCTCCACAGGGAGAGAAGTTGTTTGAAAAAGACAATTTCAGAGGAGAAATGCTCGGTTTCATCACTGAAAATATGACGGTTAAGATAAATGTTAGTAAGGGTAGAGACTGATATGCAACATGGTGTGTGAAATGAAAGCATAAAATTGTGTTCATGATAAATTGAAATACTAAACGGCTCATGAAAATTACAAGAAGCCATACTGAAACGGACGATGCTGCGGGACGTGCTCTCACTTTATTTTGTTTCACACACCCATAACTGTTCAGGTTTCAGACCAAATCCCACGATGCATTTATTCTTTTATTCCCCCTTTATGAATGAGAAAATGCACCTGTATTTACTGCTGACCTCACCTCAATGTGGAAATACTTTCCAATACAGCCAACTGGCTTGTAGATCCGCTTTCCGACTTCAGAATCCCGTTTTCAACCGATGCGCCAGCGCAAGCCAAAAATGTGAGGTACATCTGCGACTGTACGGCTGCAATTTCCTTGAACACCTGCGCGGCAAACGACGTCGACGATCGGTGGCACCGCTCTGAAGTCATGGAAAATCACCAATGAATGTGTGCTCATGTCTGCTCACAAACGAACTCCCCCATAATATCTTTTAACCATGGATTACGATTTCAGTAGCACTTAAATGTGCCCTGAGGAGACGGCAAGCGGCAAGATGAAAGGGAAGCCTAATTGCCATAACTGCGCTGGATCAAAGAAGCCGCCAGGTGGCGGTTGGATTACGGTAGCTGGATGACAAGACTTCATGCCGGGCAAGTTTGATTGATCATTGTTTTGTGGACATAAGTGTTGTCAGAAAAACGTGCGCCAAGAATGCTCCTTCGCCACTTGGCCCAACGGAAAAATAACACCGACAAAGGAAAAAACAAGCTTTATGGAAAGGCGAGTACTTGAAGATGACCGTGATGGTATGACAAGATTCCCAGTTCAAAGATAAAAACCGCACTGAGTCACTCTCATAAGGATATTATTCTTTCCGTTTCTGTTGACTAAAATGAAAATGGTTTCGAGAGCTTTCCCAAAGATGAGGGGGAGGTTTCGACCTTATACGACCTTGGCGCAGAGATTTTGAGTTACATGTATGCAGCCTGAACACGGCGAAAGATCGAAATGACAACGACACTTTGCTACTTGAACACTATGGAGAGTTTCCCCTTAATTTTTCATTTGGATGAAAGGAGAACGGCCATTCCACTTCCCCCACATACCCTAATGACCGAACAGCCATTTGAACATAAACGAACTCTTTTCAATCATTGTAAAGGTGAACTAAATGTTAAACTGCTACCACTTCTTTTGATGCAAAGCAAATGCATGGCGTCTCAATTCTCCAACTCTCAGTTGGCTAATGATTACCAGTCAAACTGTCCCTTTATCGGCTCAGCAAAGTTCAAAGCAGAATACCGTACAATCCCCAAGACCTGTTCGAGGATTTCTGGGAGTTTTCAGTCTATTTATTGTACCTTGAATTAGTATATGAATAAAGTGAAGGGACGGCATCAGCTTTGCTCACCATCAAGCCATTGTGCGCTTTTGCCATCGTGTTGGTAAACGTCTGGATTGCCTTCACCAGAAGCGAATGAATCTCCGATGATAGCAAACCATAATGGGCGCATTTCAAAACTGCGCTCGCCCGTAGCTATCACATCTCCTTTTTCAGACAATATAGACAAATGCACAGAGTGAATACCCTGAAAGGAAATTTCCACTAGTTCTAGCTAAAAGTTGAATGCTGAGGTGATACGAGATGAGAATGCTTCATGATGTGAAAATGGAGGTGAAAATGTAGTTAGGAGAAAGGAGGGAGGGAGGAGAGGGAGTTCTCTAACTTCATTGCTCTTCTCCAACATTGAGCGCTAAAGCAAAAAAGGGGTAGCCGACTTCACTCATCTTAGAGGTAGTTCATAGCGAAGGAATAGTTCGGCTAGTTTTTTTCAGTTTTTTAGCCCTAAAGCGTATGAGGTGCACAGGACAGCATGGTGAGATGATTACATCGTGCAAAAACTGGGATGGGATAACACTTAACATTCAGTTGACTCGCCCACCCCGACACTCCTTCCTTCCCACAACTCAGTTCAAAAAACCATATTTTCATGGCTAAGAAACGTCCATAAGCTTCGTCAAGAGCTCACGAAGTTGGCTATCCCTCTGCACTTTAGCGCTGAGTGATGGAAAGTGCGGTGGCCGGCGTCAACTACATTTTTACCGAAATTACTGTTCAAACATATATGAGCATCCCGGAAAAGTGTTACTATACAGTATGAATTAGAGCGAGGATAGTTTTGTAGGACTCCCGAAAACTCTATGTCAAAAACCAAATCCTCAGATTGGCCCATGTTGCGGGAGAAACAAATTCTCGGAGCCTTCCAATCACCGAAAAAAGATGGACACAGAATTACTGCTCGGGATTAAAAAGGCAATGTCTTTCAAAAACCAGAGAGATTTCAGCTTGTTCGGGGAAAGCTATAAATCAAGTGGATGGTCACTTTTGAAAGAAGGGACCAGAACAGCATACGAGCGGAATCTTCGCCGGGTTAACGCCAACACAAGTCGGCGGTCCAATAAATACGGCCTATCGTAAATTACCCCTTGATCTCCATAATCAATCGACTCGTTTGAATTGAAAACATGATTTCTGGCTCTCAATGGACCACAGCATGCCTGATGCTTGCTTCTAGGACAGAACATCCCCGTGAATTGGAAATGAACATGAAATCTCCACAATCAGCTGACTCCATTAAGATTAAAGTATGACTTCTCGTTTCCAGAAACTGTTGAAGGTCGATCACGATTCGACCGATTAATCGAAAACTTCACCTCTACCCTGCTCTTACTCTGTTTACTTTTTCATCGCCATGAGTTACCTATTTTACTTAAAAGTAATTTAATTGAGAATTGGCAAAAAGAGGGTTGTAGAGCTCAAGAAGACACCTTATTTGCCTAGAAGGGCTGTTTTTTTGCTTAGAATATTAAAATAAAAATTAAAGTTCGTAAAAGCAAGGCGAATTTCTCATGAAATTCTAATTACGTGAAATATTTTGCCGACGAAATGGTTATACCGGAGCGATTCATAAAGAAACCCTCCAAGAAGAATTTGCTCCGGGTGTGTACCTTAACTGACTAGGTATTGACAAGCCTACCTCAGCTACAGAAAGAATTCAGAGTTTCTGCTACATCAGGAAAACTTTTAGGAGTTCTTCAACAGTTAACCCACATCCACTGTGCAATGCAGCGTCGCATAACAATGTTCGGATTCAACAGAATCCATTCGACGACTGTTGAAGTAATGTTGCCAATGATAAGTAATATTAGCGGGAAGAGATAGATTGCATGCAGAGACTGAGATCAGTCCATAATACTGATCGAATTCGTCGGCAGAATTGATCAAACGTTTCCTATGCAAGTCCAGAGAACTCGAATGCGAGCGTACCTCAATAGGTACTCTATGAACCAACGAACCCTGCTGAAAAGTCAGAATTAAGGCATGCGATATTCTAGAAAATCTAATTTTTCTTCTCTAAAGGCTGAAAAAAACTCACTGAGCAATCCCACACAAACATCAAGAGCCTTGGCCAATTGTTTAATAGCTGGAAAAAGTAGAAAAATGATGACGTACCCAGAATCATCTCGGCCTCGAAAGGATGATCTTTGCAAATACACTTCTGAAAAAAGAATTTAAAAAACTCAACCGTTCCCATTCCATAAAGGAGCAACTGAAACGGACCGCGTTCATTTTTTGTGTAAATGAGGTTTTCACCACCCAACCCCTTCAGGCCACAACACGTACTGATAAGCAGTAGCAAAAAATAAGCGCAGCAGAGAAAATGCAATAAGACTAATACTACTTTTGCTACTATGTACGGGGACAACAGAGGTTGGCAAGGTGCTTTCCTCCTTGGACAGTGAGGAATGACGGAGGGTCGTCAAGCCTTCGGGCTTTAAGCCCCATCGGCAAGAAGTACAGCCGTGTTGGAGCGTTTTTCGCTGTAGCTGTTCAAAAGAGAGTGGTACGCGACGAGATCAAAGGAATGCCGCCCATTGACATAGACCTTCTCAAGTGAGCCGCCTTAGTGTTGCGAAGAGAGAGTGCGAGGAAGAAATAGAGAAAGACAGACCAATATAGAAAGGAACTCTGAGAGGGCCGAATGGTCTCATAAATGTTTATCCAAGGGGGGAGAAATTTCATGGGAGCGTCCGGGCCTGCTGGAGACGACCCCTGACAATTCATTTCAAATGGTCCTTCCCAAATGTGCGACTATTCCGGAAGCAGGTAATTGAACTGGTCACTCTGGATACAGACAAGCGCGGCGACAAACATTTGTGTGCCCGGCTTATCGCAGTCGAACAAACACTTTGAAGACTTTCAAGCGTCTAGAATTGGAATCATCATAAAAAGTAAGATAAAAGGATGCCGCCCGACCACATGGAACATACAATAAAACGATTGTAAATCAGCTTAAGGTGTGAAGAAGAATTCATGCGTAAAAGCCGCACCGCGATAAACAATAGGGTGGTGATCTGGGGTAAGCCGAGATGCTACTTGTCAGAATTTCTTATCCCTTAGTCAAACGACTTCCTGCTCGATTTCCCGATTTCTATTGGCTTTTTATGAATTTCGGGTGGAAGCTGTTTTTAATTAAAATTGAACTCGCCTATATCCATTTCAGTGTTTCATCGAATAGAGGATTTGATTTAATTTTGAGGAGTAGAGCCAGGCTCTCGTTGACTGAAACGAATATTTCTGATGACGAAGTCAGCTGAAAACAAAGAATACAAGATATTCAAGGAATGAGAAATTCGCTCGAAAACACGTCCTCGGAAATTTGGGAAGGTTTTTTGCATTTCTGCCTCTAAGAATAAAAGGACACCGCTAAATTAACATTTGTGAAGAAATACTTGAAGATCTAGTGAATGTCTGTAGTAAAGCGGTTTCTGAAAGTGCCGGTTCGTTATTACCCCCAGGTAAAAATACATATACACACACGCAGTGGTTCTACATCCTTCATATATAACTTTATATGTGCATGAGTTTTACTGGAAGATTTTTTTACTGTAACCATAGGGTATCATTGATTTGAGATGCTGTTCTCGCTAAGCTCTCATGCGGAGTATCGTTGGATGGACCCAACCATGTCTGGGTCTGAGAGCGACCTTTGGTCAGTATCGGGTTCGCTTGTTCGTGGCCAGTTTTTCCCTTTGGAGACTAGCCATCTCTGATTCACACTCATAGCCATTTAATAAACACTCTTTCAGAGTTGATTCCGCATAGCCTTTTTGACAGGAAACCTCCGATATTCCTGCCCCGTTTTTTGTTCTTGTGAGCCAAACGGTCGTTGGTTTTTGAACCCTGAAGAGACATAAAATTGCCCTGTTTAGGAAGAATACGAACAGTAAGAGTGTGATGCGAGACAAAGCAAGCTATTTTTGCTGTATTATACAGCGACCATGTGAGAAGTACTCTCACTGATCTTTGATAAATTATAAGCGCTTTAAAGCTATCAAAAGTTGGCCTACAACTTACGTCTACTGTCACCCTTATCTGATCGTGTGCATAGCAGATATTGTTGATATTCTGGCACCAATATTACGTTTACGTCTTCAAAAATCTAATTCGTTGAATCCGGATTAATGCTCTTCGTCAAGGGAGTAAATAGTGTTGGACCAAATAGAGCACTATGACACTCATGGTCCGGGATCGGACCGTCCATGCAATCACGCCTCTTATCCTTCTGGGTCGATTCACTCGAATCAACACGCCTGGTAGGATGAAAGCACTGACTTTATATATCAGCTGTCCATTTCAATCATTGTATAGTTCACATATACTTCAAAACGCAACGAACGGCATTTCTGAACCAAATCGTGAGGGAGGATGACAGGAAAACGATAAAAATTAAGACTTCAAACCCTCTATGAATAACTTGAAACAATAATCGCACGCTTCTGTGAGTACCCTACATGTGCAAGGGTTCGTGAAGAGTGCGATAACATCGCACACATAGAATGCGAAATAACATTTGTTTCGAAAATCCTCCAAAGCATGACGCTCCTAATGCGCATCTGGCTGACCACCTCATGGTCACATACTTCAACAATATACGCAGTATTTCAAGCCTCTACCATACCATCGAGTAGTTACCGATAAAATTAGCTTAAACAGTCACTGCCACTACTTTCACTGTTTCCCCCGTTTTTTATTCCCTCATTTCCCGGATTTGGTGGACCTTAAATGCTACAACGAAAGCACCTTCGAGTAAAAGGAGTACCTTGTTGGACGAATTGAAGAAAATTTACGTATTTTCCATTGCCATTTAGCTGAGTGTGAAGAGTACATGAGGAAAAGAAAAAAATTCTCTTGGCTCGAATCCACTCATGCTTTTTGCCCTGAGAAACAACTGGTACCGCATACATCCCGTCACATATGGCCTGACCGATTCGACAAAATCCATAATCATGGATCGGAAAGACAGCGAGTATGCAGCGCGCTTTGCTGCGTTTCCGCCACTATATTTTTTCAAAGAACCAGTTGTTCGAGAGTTCAGCACCATGACCGCCACTCGTTAGTAAAGCAGTTACCTAACAATTAACAGGGCATTTTCAAGATGTGAGGAATAAATCTTCAAGAAAAAAAAANAAAAAAAAATCGAAAGACGTCAAGTTGCTTTCCCGCTCGATTATTCGACATCAATCACAGCCTCTTTCATTCTCTGAGGGCGGAAGCGAAGGAATCACGTCGATGCACCGATGAATAGGTGACCTGACTTGAAGTGATATACCCCGCACCGTTTAGACCCCAATCTGAAAGTAACATTAGCTTGTATATAAATTTGCATTCATCGAACGAAGAAAACATCTATATTTATCAAAAATAGTACAACATCAGCTGACAGGCACGATAATGTCGGCTAGACTAGCAGCAACGAAATATATACATAATAACCCGTAATGAGGAAGGCGTATCAGGTACAATGGAAGCGGAGATCGAAAACCTGAGGGAACACAGAGAAGCTTCTACGACTAAAGGCTGTTGCGAACACTCATGACTGGATTTCATTTTCACTTCTGTTTCGTTGCAGCTGTGCGATCTCCAGCTCGAGTTTCTTGATCTTCATTTGGTAATATCTAGTCATCGCTTCCTCCTGAACAATCACAACCGGAATATTCTAGAATTCCCCAACACAATTCCAATATTATTACAATCACTATTAAAAAAAGCTCATGAACTTAGCCCACTGCCGAGCCGCCATGTGGATTATGCATCACCCACAGGTATATGCCGCACAAACAATCTCAATNTTTTTTTTTCTAGTTAGAATACCTCTACAACCCAACTTCAAGCAGGGGGATAAAGAGATTTACTAACCAAAATTTATGAATATCTTTACAAGTGGAGAGAGATGGGTGAGCATTTGCTACTCAAAATATCTATAATCGTTGCGTCGTTCAACTAACTCAATCACTCAACGGTGCCGTTCTCGCTTGGTAGCGTTTAGCAAAAAAAAATTTTCACTTCCCGGAAATGCTTCTGTGACGACACAACCTCAGCGCCTACAAAATGGCGCGAACCCCGATCCTGCTTGCCCATGAGAAGAAAATACCAAGTCATTTTCTCGATAGATATCGGAAAAGGTTAGGCACTAGTTCAACTTCCTTTGTTGAGCGCACAAACAGATTGCGCTGAACACAGC